AACTCCACAAGGCTAGAAATGGAATGACCAGAGAACTAAAATTTGAAGCTTACAAGATGTCTGGGAAACTTTTCAGGTTCATAATAGCCAACAACAGTTCTTGTTGAACACTCAGCCTTCAGTAGAGATCACAGGTGGAGTTTGCATAAGTAGTGGGGCTAAAGTACTCATGGAGTAAAGGTAACTCCTATATCTGACCTAAAAATGCTTTAAAACAGGCTCCTAAAGTATCAATCTGTTTGATAAGTAACTCAACAAAGTCTAATACATCTTAAAGAAGATGACAAAAACCATCACTAAACAATGCAAAGCTCACAATCCACACTATCTAATTAATACCTGAAATGTGAAGAACCAGGAAAACGTGATCCATAACCAGGATATTAGAGATTATGGAATTAGCTAACACTTGAAGACCTCTATAATAAATATTAGAAATATGTTCAAAGATGAAGAAAAAAATACATTAATGTAATAAAGATATGAATTTTTAATGAAGAACAAACTATCATTTCATAGGTGAAAAATTATATGTATGAAGTGAAAAATAGTAATCTGAGATTATTAGCAGATTAGACACCAAAGAAGAAAAAATCAGAACTGTGTTTATCACAATTTTCCATTTATGTCTGAAATATCTTTTGCTTATTAATAAATTAATAAATAAAATTACACAAAGAAAAATCACAGTACAAAATAAATCACAGAGGAAAAAAAGACTGAAAAAAATTAAGAGACTCGGTGACCTGTAGAACAATTCAAGAAGTGATATTATGGACATAATAAAAGTACTAGAAGAATAGGTAGGTAAAAATATTTTAAGTAAAAATGGTCAATTATTTTCCAAATTTGGTGAAAACTACAAATCCACATATTCAAGAGGCTCAATAAACTGCAAGTAGAATAAACACGACAAGGCATACTACAATCAAATTGTTGGAAACAAATGATAAGGCTAAAAAGTTGAAAGCAGCCAGAGGGAAAAGGATACATTATATAGAGAGGAAAAGAGGAAAGAATTTCAAATTTTTCGTCTTAAGTTATTTAATACAGAGGACAAGTGAACGACAATTTTAAGTATTGAAACTTAAAAACAAACAGAAAAGCCTATTAATCTAGAATTATATTCCCAGCGAAAACACCTTAAAAAATGAAAGGGAAACAGATTTGTCAGACCAACAAAAGTTGAGAC